GTCCTGAGGTCAGGGACACCCCAGTCCTGAGGTCAGGGACACCTCAGCCCTGGGGTCACAGATGTCCCAGTCCTGAGGTCAGGGACACCCCAGTCCTGAGGTCAGGGACGTCCCAGCCCTGGGTGAAGGGTGCTCTCTGTGACAGGGAGCCTAAATCTGGGCATCAGGCTCGTGCTGGGGGTGCCGGACACCAGCTCACACCCAGCACCTCTGCTGCTGGCCTTGACCCTGAGCCCATCCCTCCTCCTTTCACCCGGGAACAGCCCCAAACCCCAGCGACTCCGAGCCCCGAGGGACACCCTGTGTCACCCCACGCAGGGCATCCCCCCCGCCCAGCCCCACAGGGACCACGGGAAGGGCCAACGACGGAGCAAACCAAACCAAAGCGACTTCCCCAACCACCCCCAGCAACAAACCCACAGCTACTTAACCAACCTTTTCCCCAATTTTAACGTAATTAGCCGTCCGCCTGCCAATCCACGTCAGCTCCCGCGGATCAGATCCGTGAACGGATCGCTGCTCACCGGCTCTTGGTGAATCGATAGAGAAATTAAAATGCATTCATGCCATTCTTCCTCAGTTGTCATCTTATCTCGGCGTCTCGCGAAAAGCGCGGCAGATTACAGAATCCATCATCATTTAGCCTTTGTAGCTCGCAAAATTCGTAATTAACAAAAAATTTCTATTCACTTGCTCATGTAATTTAATTAGTTTTCCATTAAATAGAGACTAAATATCATCTAATCCCCCAACAGAGCAAATAATTGTTTTCCATTCTTTTAGAAATTATCACTCGCTTATTGTAACTATCAAAATTCATTAGAAGCCTCGGAGCAGCGGTGGGGAAAGGTGGGAAAAGCGCTGGAGGAACGACAGGGAGGTGATCAGAGGGGGTGGCAGCGCCAGGGTGGCTGAGGTGGGATCTCCCGGTGATGCCCCCATTGTGCCCAGCATGGGGATCACCAGCACTCAGCGCTCAGCTGAGGATCCGTCCCACCACACCATGTCAGGGTGCTCTGGGTACCACATCCGCCTCCGGCTGGGATCGCTTGCCGAAGCTGGCATTGCCGAAGGGTCAAGGACTGGGATGGGGATAGGGACAGGGGTAGGGACAGCTGTGCAGGGCCGCATCAGGGGGTCACTGCCAGTCCCCACTGAAGGGCAGAACGGGCACCCCCCCTCTATCGCACAGAGGCCATTTATCCGGATCCCGGGACAGATTTAATTTATGGTGGAAATCTCTCAAGCAAATACCTCCCTTGGAGGAATAAACCTGTTTAAGAAAACAATTTTCTCCGCGCTCGGATTACGCCTTCAACGTTTCACTGCTGCGATGCCCCGGAGCTGGCACGGCTCCGGCGTGGGATGGCAGCCAAGAGGTGCCCATGCTCGCTCGGGTGCAGCTGGCAGTGGCCAGGAAGTGGTGGGAAACCCCGGGGCTGCCCGGCCCCACATCCCCCCCAGATGCTCTGCTGCCCGGTGCGGGGCATGGCCCTGTCCCCGAGGCCTGGTGGCAGTGCTGCCCTGGCAGTGTCTGGGGGGGGTGCATGGGTGTGCGTGGGTACATGTGGGTGCACGTATGTGGGGGTGTGTGTGTCTGTGCATGTGCATGCATGTGTGTGCATGCGTGTGTATGTATGTGCATGCATGTGCATGTGTATGTATGTATGTGCATGTGTGTGTATGTATGTGCATGCATGTGCACAAACATGCATGTGTGTTTGCATGCAGGGGTACATGCACGTCTGTGCATGCATGTGCATGGGCTTGTGCACACGTGTGTGCACGTATGTAGATGCATGTACACACAGGGCCCAGGCTCGCAGGACTCACTTTGCACAGCAAAGATTCGCCATGGTCCTGTGCCAGCCAGCCCCGCAGCGGGTGCCAGCCCCCCATAGTGGGTGGCAGCCCCACGGTGGGG